TTACCCTCTGACTCACCTACCATTCATGCCAATCCAATTTGGGCGGATAATGGATAGTAAAAATCAGTTCTTCAAAGTTGTTGTAAGCCTCCCCTACCCTATCATTCGACCAAAAACAAAATACCTTTTTAAAAACCTTCACTTTTTTTTAAAAAATCGTCCCCTTTACCATTTATTACAGTATAAAAAAAACGGTCCCAAGTGATTTCGGTTTCTAAACACTGGTTTCTTTGTTTTGTTCGTCTGTTCCATTTATGAATAATTGCTTTGATTTTGGTCATACACATGATTTGATATTTTCAGCTCTGAAATTGTTTTGTTCAAAAAACAGAACGCATTTTATTGTTCACATTTAGTCGGCATTTCATGATGGAAAACAACCCAACTGGTTTCATCAAGCATGTTTTTTCAAGAAACATCGGCCGGCTACTCAAACATTTATCGATGGATTTCCCAAGCTTATTGATATAGAAGAAAATCAATGCGACGAAATTGCCTTGGTATTCAGACTCTATATCTTTCTTGATCTTGCTTTCTTAGCGCACAAAGTCGACAACGACGGTCACACGAATGAAAAATGAAACAGGCTAGGGAATTTTCCATATATATCGCGCATACAAACGAAAAGGTTAAAGTCAACAGTCATCGGGCCCTTTTTTAGTGAGATGTCGCATTCTGATCTTCGTTTTCACGAGCCGGTTCACAATGCTAAAATTAACCATGATCAGTTTTCATGATTTATTTCAATGTGCTATACTTTTGTCCTCCTACTGCTGTTGCTGTACCGTAAATCTTTGCACAGAAAAATATGCCAAATATACACGTATAAAAAACTAAAAAAAAAGGAGACCGCGTATTAGCATCGTGAGCAAGTCACAGGAAAAAAACATTTATTTACCTTCGATCCGTCTCGTTGTATGTCTTTGATTTCTTCTCTTCTTTCGGCTTACATCTAATTTACAATTCAAAACAAAAGATCGTGGCAACCGTGAAAAGTTATATTAACTTATATATTCAAGTATTTTACAATATTATGCGCGACTGGAAATGCTAAAGAGATGATAACGACACACCGCGAAATGTTTCCTGTCGATGTCTTCCATAAAAACCGTTTTTGTTTGTTTAGAAAAAATCGCGCACATTTTCTAGTGAAATAAAATGATTAAATGGCACGTGTTAAGAGAAATTTTTTTTTTCTTGTCTTCTCTCCTGTTCAATAAAGAATTAAAATCCGAAGATGTATTCAACTATGGGCATGATGTTTTTTTCTGTTTCTCCTGGTCTTCGCAAGACGTTTGACTAAGGCGAACAAGCGTGTAAAAGTATTTTATGGCTCAGAGGTTTTTTTTCGTTATGCCTCAAAATGTCCGTTGGAAAAAAGTTGGACCATTTCACTTCTACTTAGAGATCAAACCGACACAGAATGCCAGCCAATGAATGAATGAATGGAGAAATCAACAACAAAACGTGCTGTCTGAAATTAGAAAAAAGAATGATTGCAAGTGATACCATTTCTTCCATCGACAAATTGCTATTCCAGTTATTTGAAATAGAGTTCCAAAATATTTCTTAGGTATACATTGCTTGAGCTGACCCGTCTTCAGATCTTTCATTGCTTTGTTTTTGTTTCGTTGCGCTGAATTCAAATGGGTGTTGATGCTCATGTGAGAATCGGTTACATTAATGTTCGTGTGTGGTGTTTTCGAACAAGAGTCACTGTCGCGGTTTCTTTGCTTTCCACACAGATCCGCAGTCTATCCACTTATCCTATGGCTTTGAGCATTTTGTAACAGATCTGATTGGAAGCAAAACAAGAAATAGAAAAAAAAAATCTGTATCGAAGATTCGATTTCAAGCAAACGAGTATTTATAAAAAATAAAAGTAAAGTTTAGATCAAGACAAACAAGAAAGTTTTTTCTTGTGAACTGTTCAACTAAGGAATGATCGATAGCTCGTCTGGCAGCGGCACTAACTGTTTCGCCGACTCAGACTAAAGTATCATCGATATAAATTACTCTAATTACCGCTATTCTCGATGTGAAATCAAGTGAAATTAGTTCGACCATTGCAGCAGGTAGACTAGAGCGCGAATTAAATGGTGAACATTATCTCATTTGCATAGTGCGACTAGCAATTATTACGAACAATTTCATTCACTCGCAATATCAAATTGAATTAATGTATTTGGTCATTTGGAAAATGCAAATGTCATTGGACATATGATTGAGTTTGAGTCGTCTCGATGCAATGCAGCAAACAGTATATGAATTTACAAAAATGAAATGCGACAGCTTAGCTTTGATTATGATGAAGATATAATGATACAACGATGTTGAATGGATACACGCAAACTGAAAAAATCGTATCATCTCGCGACATAAAAACGATTTGTGTCATGTCTAATACATACAAACAGGTATTCTGTTCATTAATAATTGAATAAGTCAAAACGTTCAGCACAAAATGATCTCGTTTAATTTACATTTTCATTCAAAAGGTTGACACTTTTTCTTTTGCGTTTCACTGCTTCATCGGCTATGGCAATTACATTTGAAACTGATCGCAATCGGCTTCATTGATTAAATTGTATATGCTAAGTTGAAACTGAAACCGTTTTCTTTTCAATCGGTGTACGCCGTTCGCTAGTCAATTACCTCGCGTTGGGCCAATTTTCAATTGTTCACAAATATATTTTCGAATTATTTTCAATTTATGGATAGGCATATGGTAGTAAGTGAATGAGTGTGCGGCGCACAAACACCATACTTCACACCGCAATAAACGTGCAACCGAGAAATAAGAAAATGAGTTGTGATGGAAGTAGCACCAAACATAGCGTGAAATCAGTAAAATTTTTACGGTCAAGTCTCAAGTGCAATTCCATTAAAAATGTTTTGAGAATGTGACGCGAAAATACTAGGAGCCGCGTGCGCGTATTCATCATTTTCATACAGTTCGTGAAAAGAAAATTCGTTAAATTATCTCAATCGACGTTGAAACGGAATTAAAGGGAGCACGAACTCACAAAAGGGAATGAACGTCACAAATGGAAGAAAATATTCCAATGTCGATGACGATGATGATGGCGGCGGCGTAGATGGAGGTGAGCCGTGAATCGCATTGCACTTGCTAGTATTTGCATTATGTCAAACCGGTAGAGAGAAATTGTGTTTCCGGCGGTTAGCGAAAGCGAATTTGCCCAAGTTTAGACATCTACTTACAACGAATACTCAATCGCTCATTCGCTCATTCGCTCATAACGATTTCATTGGATTGCAATTGCATTGAATGCATTTCTCCGTTTGATTATGGATCGCGCAAGAAATACCGAAAGAAACTGGGAAGAAATGCTATAGACAGTGAACAATCATTCAAAATATCTGCATTTTTACTTGTACAATGTACATATATCTCAACTTCTCACTCTTTTCTTGTAGCAAATACACGAGATACAGTTATCCACATTGAGGTTTGCGAATTTCGGTACGAAAGCAGACAGCATAGCATAGCAAATTTGCATAAGCACTTCGTTAACGGAGGTCTTTAGCGGCTATGGCACATGTAGCACCAAATCATGGAACAGAGCTTAGCAAACCAACAAAACAATAACAAGCAAAACTCAGCAATAAAAATTTCACTTTAACATATAAATTTTTTTATCATTAATACGTGCTCGCGCCCGAACGATGTGTGTGTGTGTGTGGCTGTGCCCCTTTCTCCACAGTTCGATGTGCATATGAACCAGCGGTCGCTTTTTTTCCATTCAATTTCAGTTTTCTTTTTCGAATAAAAAAATTGTACATTTCTGCGGTTTCTCGTCGTACAACTGCCAATGAAAATATCGAAAAAATGAAGTGAAGAGAAAAAAATTACTTGAACAAAATATGCGCAGCAAAGTAAGAAGAAGAGAGCGAACAACAGGAGAAAGGAAGAAAAAAACGCGCGAAAAGTACCAATAACAAAGTTGAAAAGAGCATGTGAATCGACATCAAGCCGAAAAAGCTATTTACATGCATTCCCAATTTCTCAGCGTTGCAGCTTATCATTACCACAATGTTAAATGGGTGTAATGAATAAACTCAAGTAAACTTTAAGTTGAATGAACACGTTCGAACTCTGATCACAGGTGAAAAAAGTAAGTCTGTTGAAAAAAAAATTAAACAGCTCCTGCGGTGCCAACTATATCCAACGTTCATCAACATGACAACAATTTTTTTTGGATGGATATAGTGTTAGCAGATGAATAAACAACACACACGCGCACTTTGCACCGAATGCAGTTTGCCGAAATACATGCATAATTCATAAAAACTGCAGAAAAAAATGAACAAAAGCACGAAGAAAACTCCCTCAAAGTGTTTGATGTTGTTTGTGCGAACGTTATAAATACAATCATGCTCAAACATACGTTTTCCGATGGCTCAGCATTTCAGCATTTCGTATCTGCGGATATATCCGAGCATATCGACGACGCAAGTCACTGTATAAGTGGCGTGTGTTGATGTGCACAGCTACATCGACTACACACAAACACTGCGCTCTCTGTTTGTGTGTAAAACTCTCTGTTTGTGTGCAGTCGATGTAGCTGTGCACATCAACGCACGCCACTTATACAGTGACTTGCGTCGTCGATATGCTCAGATATATCCACAGATACGAAATGCTGAGATGCTGAGCCATCGGAAAACGTATGTTTGATCATGCTTAATCAATTTCATCTTCTCAACAAACAATGTAATACGCATATGGGACAAAAGATAAGGATCCAAAAAAATTCACAAAATAAATCCTCTATCAGCAGCAGGGCAATGAAAAAAGATTGATGTGAATATACGATTAATAATGTTGACTTGAAAAGGCGCTACTTTTCAATGCAATTTAATGCCACTGAGCTATTTTCATTTGAAAGAAGCCATAAATGCATTTCGCCATGAATCGGACTTAATTGATCAACGAAAAAGAATGATCATTGCTCAAACTAACACCAGATAACGTGCACTATACTTGCGCCGCATCGGCGAAAAGATATTATTTTATCACAATTCGCTACTATCATCGTGAGATGTGATACGCAGCATCCAGTCAACCAAAATCTAAGCGTATACATGAGCATCGAGCAACGTGTGCTGTGTATGTTCCGAACCACAAGTGTTTTTTATCTTTCTCTATCTTGCTCTCGCCATCCCTTCCGCCTTGCCTTTCTCACTCTGTCTCTCTTTTTGTCTTGGTTTTGCTTTCAGCAAACCGTTCGCATTATCACTGCGCCAAGCCACCAAATGAATGAAAGCGTGCGATTTTGTTATAGCTGCCGATGAATAAACCATCACATTGACTTCGGCTGGCTGCAGCTCCGACCGTCAGTCTATCTTTGTTAAGCGTGATAATCAGTTGTGTACGCGCCGTGCTGCTGCCTATTTCGTATTTCAATTTAAGTGTGGAAGACGATTTTATCTACATCGATTGAATCTGTTTTCGAATTGTGACAATCAGTGGATACAAAAACCCAATCGACATTGTATGTAAACGATTGCTATTTTTCTGTTTACTCATTCTCGTTTGTTTCATTGTCAATACTCGAATTGTATTTCAAGTGCTTATTGCTTTTAAATTTGTGTGTAAGATGTTTCTGGTGCTTTATTTGTCATGAATATTTTTTGAACATTTAAATTTTATCTGTTCCATGCTAATTGATTTACATGAATTCTACCGTTTTTTTTAATATTTCCCGTGCATGAAGTATGTTCGTATAAACCAATGACCCCTTTTAAACGGAATCGATCGACTGTTCGGTCAGTGCTGTGTGATATACTTGGAATTATTTTTCACAAACAGAAAAATTAGAAATCTTATTGTGATACTTACTTTTCGAAATGGAAGACTCCAAATTTAGCACCATTGGTGTCATGCAGCATGTGTATTAGATTTTGAGTGCAACTCATGCCTCGCATCTCGAAAATTTTATCATTTGTCATAGATTGAATTGTGCTAAACGATTTAACATGTATTTGGTTCATACTAGTTGCTAATTGTGACTGAACATCAATATTTAATTAGAACGAAATCCTACATGAATTGGAAGTGCCATTGTGTAAAGCAGCTGATTCCAGTTATCTGCTTATTGGTCGATGACTGGTGGCTTTTTATTCGATACGACCAAAATATAAATTCAATAACCAGTCATCTCGGGATTGTTCAGATGTTAATCATTGAATGGAGGAAGTTTTTATAGTCTACCCTTGAACGGTTTGGTGAATATTCTTTTAAAATATGACAATTAGGCGGATGACTGGAAATTAGCGAGATTTCAATTTAACATAAACATATGATGCGATTTGTTATTTTTATTTGTGAATTATTTTGCGCGCGAGTTTCTGTGTGTTTAACTCTGCCTTTCAAAACAAATTCAATCACGTACAAACTACGTAATTCCGAATGTCACATCATTATTAGTGGTCAATCGAGAGACGATATATTGACAGAAACTGTCTCCCGGCCGACGATTGCAAAACAAAGATCGCCAACAATGTGGATTTGGATTACGTGCACTCTTTTACGCGATTACACTTTTATTAGCGCATGACTGTAAATAGTACCTACATTTTACCACACATATACTATATTCACGCAGAGTGAAAAGTCCGAACGTGTTCACTTGCAGTCATTTTGAATACAATCGAAATGCGAATGCAATACTGAAACATGTACATTGTACAATATAATACACATCAATTACTAAATTGGTGCTGGTGTTTTCTGAAATGGTTACTTTTATTTTCATTCACCGTCAATATCTTCGTTGGCGTCATTGTTGTTGTTTGTTTTCGGTTTAGCCAAATACGGTCAATGTTTGATTGCACGTCGCCAGTTTTTTTTGCTCGCGAACGACAATTGCAACGATAACAGCCACATTCGGCGCGTTTAATTAAGTGTTTTTCCGATTATTGACACATTTCACATCCCTCACGCTTGATTACGAGCGTCGCTCGCCAATTTCTACTTCGAATTACCCACACTCCACATAATAAAAAGCTATCCATATTTGATTATTGGAACCTAAATAATGAAACACACTATTCCATTGTGCGACGAAGTCTTTCGATTTTCGCTCACTATTCCCTTCGTTTTGGATCTTTCTTCTATTTTTTTAAACGAAGTCGAGCTGCAATAAGCCAACACAATCATGATAGTTACTTGGAAAATTGCGCAAATTTCCTGGCACTGCTTCAATTGCTGTTTCAATGCCCGAGATACAAAACGATGATTGCCTAATGTGTTTGTTTGAAAACCTTTAAAGATAAGTACACTTGAGCAAATAAAGAAGATTAATTAAAGATTTAAACAGTTGATTTACGCCAATGGATATTTCACAATTGTGGAGTATATTTTGGAAATCTTATTTATGAGGAACGTCATTGCCAAATCAAAGTAAGATAATGCGATTGCATGTATTCTACGGTTTCATTGCGAAAATGGTGGTTTTCTGATTCATCAAACCATTCAAATATTCAAATCCAACCGAACGCAATACGTGATAGTTGCCTCACAATCGTTTAATTATTCAATTTCTTTGGGCGCGCATCATTTGATAAATCCGCATCACTTTGAATATATTTTCACGCACACTGGATCAGTTCGTAAATAAAACGATGAAATGATGGCTAACTGAACATATCAAATATGCAAAATAAGTAATCTGATGCCTTTCCATCATATAATGCGCATTAGCAATTTTATTTTTCATTCCCATTGGATTTTTGACCACTTTTTCCCCGTCTGCTGCTGACATTTACGCAAAATTTATGTTTGCTTTGATTGCTTTGTTTTTGTATCGATTTGTTATCGTCTTTCGCTATTTTTGGGCGTGTGTAAATTTTTCGCATGTTTTTCTTCCTCTGCGTTGCGCGTGTTATCACAGACCTTCAGATTTTAGTAATCAACTGAATGGAATAAAGATTTGTCAGAGTGTCTACTTCTTTATTATTCGAAAGAATAAAACCATAAAACAATATTACTCCATGGTTTGGATTGGACTTTTTGACCGTAAATGATGGATGTTGATATATTCAAATTAATTTAATTGACCTGCTTATGGTAAATGTTCATGTGAGAGACGAAATTTATACAAATCGAAAAATAACGAAGAGAGATGTGGACAATATTTCCAAATGGAATGTACAATTGTACATGCTTCAGCTCTATCAAATTATTGACTTGAAAATTCAGTCGAGTGAAGTAGAGACTTGGTGTCTGTTGTGGCCGAAAAGATTCAAGTATTTTCCAAATGGATCGTGAAGAATTTCAGATAAACTGCAGACGGCAGCTAAACGAAAAAAAGGCGACAGCAACAGCAACAGCAACAACAAAAACGACAAAACAAATACACGCCGATTGATGAGAAGAATGTAGAAAAAAACACATGAGAGAAGCCGTTGCACACTGGGAAGAAGAAAAGGCAGCTCGGTAACAAAGAAAATTATGGTGATTTTGTTCTCATTTTTCGGAACAGTGGTTTAACATGAATGCCATCGAGCGTGTGTGCGGATGTAACTTCAACTTGTGATATTTGCTACTGCCGTTTTTCATGGTTTCTCTTCGGTTGACTCTTCTTCACTTCAAGATATTCGCTGTCGTGTTTGCTGTTGATTGTTGTGCTGCACTTGGTTGGCGGTTATTGTTTCGAGACTCGCAGGTTGTTGTTCTTTTTTACTTGAACATTTCTCGTTCGCCGTCAGATTTTTCGTTCGATATACGATTTGACGTGTGTGATTGCCATAAGTTATTGTTACGTATGTTTAGTTTTTTTTTCCTCTGTGCATCGTAAAGATAAAACCACATATAATTCACGTTCAAGAGACCAGCAAGAGAGGAAAGAAGGGCCGAAAATCTTCAACGGTTTGCATGCGTCTCTTCTTTATGTGTATTTGGGTGTGGGTTTTTAGCACACTGAAAAAAATGGTGAGATATGAAAACCGACACACACACACACATACACATACAAACAAGCCGCTCGCAATTGAATTGTTTTGTCTTGAGCGTTGATCGAAAGTGCACTGAATTCAATTAGAGGAACTCAAGAGAAGTAGTTAAATGTGCCAGATTCGAGTATGTATTCACTCGTGGTATTTTTCTTCATTTTGTTTCGTTTGTTGTGGCTTTTGTTACAATCGCCCGATCTGTTTCTTCTTTTGATTATTCGTTCACTTATTTTCGTATTATTTGTTTAGTTTTGTCTCTCCGCATTTACTCTCACATTTGTTGGTTTATTGTCGAAACGAGTTCACATACATATTTAGAGCAATATTTTCTGGCATCGTAACTTTGGGTGCAGTGATCTGTGATTTCACATGCTCGCCGCAATGAGTGCCTCGCGTTTGACGTGCCGCATTGAGATATTTTTGGCCGGTGAACCAAAAAAATCATCACAAAAAGAACTGTTTAATAATTATTATAATATAATGAACATGAAGAATTTGGAAGACTAAGACGTGTAAAGAACTTGGCTCTGCATTCATGTACGATAACTTTTATAAAATCCGATGGTCAGTCGGCAACTTCATACTCGAGCTTTATGTAGTCAACATTCACCAAAGCTGCGGTTTGCCATTATTTTTTTTACGTTGTAGTACATGTGAACGCTGAGTTTTTCTTCGTTGTCATGTAAGTGCTTAATTAATCTGCCGGCTAATGAGTTTGTTTGTCTGAGCCTCTTTTTCTCTATCTTAAGTTTGCCAGTGCAAAATGTAGATCATTCTAAGCGTGAGAATTTGTAAATCTAAAAGCAGTATAGCACCATCAATGAACGAGCGCGCTCTTTGCACAATCGAGCTGCGGGTCATTTTCAAATGGAAGTCTATGCGGAGACGGTGTAAAGTCACATAGTCGGATCAAATGTTTGCTCTAATTTTTTGTCAGCACGAAGCAAATGAATTGCAGCGGCGTATACTGACATTGGGAATCAACCGTTATTCAATAACTAGGCAATGGTTTCCGATCAAAAAAAAAAAACTTTTATGAAATCTCAATAGAATTGTCACCACTTGATCTGTGAATAATTTGATTTGAAAAAAACAAAACAAAACCAAACTAAATATTCGAAAGTTAAATTCCATTTCATGCGGAAATTCAGATTGATGTCAAAATGGCACATTGAAGACGATTAACGGCAGCGTGTGTTTCTTCATGGTCCGTGATTTATTTTCTCGATTTTGTTACTTCCTTATTGATTCGTTGTCATTTCAATGGAAATAAAAATGAAAAGAGCAGCGAAACCAAGGAACGAAATTATGTCAGTCGACAATGATCATTCCATCAGGTTTTCGAATGCTGCTGTAGTGACGATAAGCAGCACAACATCTTCAATAAACGCTTCCCTATTGAACCAAATGCCACACAGAATGAAGCGAACGTGTACGCTTTCCACAAAATTGATTAAAAATGCGTAAAAAATGTGCGTGCACACGACGCAAAAGGAAGTGAAATATACTTGTGATATGAAAAAACGAACGAAAAAATATATGTATAAAAGGAAATAAGACGAGAGTGGAGAAGTGTATCTGAAAAAGTCTTCGTCGGATTTGTGACAAACCATTGATGACTTTTTCCTTCTCATTATGGAAATATCGTTTCGATTGCATTCCGTCGGTAGTTCCGAGTATGGAAAAATGCATTTTTTCACTTTTCCATACAACGTTTATGTCTGTAACATGTAACTGATTAATAATAATGATTATTTATCATTTACTTGGGTCGCCTCATTTGATCAAGAGCTCAAAATATGTGCGGTGAGAGTGATTCCGCGATTTCTTCAATAAATAATAAATTGCCTACAACTTTTTAATGCGATAATGTTTAAAAGGTTTACTTATTCGCTTGTATCGCTGAGAACCGCGTCAATTCGTAACGTGCGGCCGGGTGTTGTTGTTACTCTGCGCCACTGTTGTTTTCGGATCGATCTATACGTATGTATGTATGTATCGGTGCTTAGTAGTGGCCAATACATTGGATATGTGAATATGTTGTGAGTGTAGAGCAGACCTGTTCTTCTCTTCATTGCGAGTTAACGAACACGGCACACTTGCCATATTCGTCTGTTTTGCGCCAGTGATCTGTCTTTTTCCTTCGATGCATGCAATTGATTGTTTCGATTCCGTTGCCATTACCAAAACACTCGTTCAAGCTTGTGCACGGTATACACGAATTACAACGAAGTAGCAAAAAGTAATACTTATCGCTATAATCGATAACAATAATTCGTACGTTGATTCGACCGGACGACTAAACGCGATGTAGGAAGACTTTTAAAATCAATATTTTGTCCATGTTATTTTAATTACTATGAATAAAATAATTCGCTTAAGTAACACTTGCCTTTAATATTCCGTTGTCTTTCATTTCAGATAAACTGATAATCATGGTAATTACCTCACCTTGAGATGAACGCGCTCTGAATGAAGATATCATTGATAACGAATCGACCAATACTTATTTCAAATACAAAGTCTGATCCATTTCAATCGGCTGCAAATCGAAAATAAAAATCAAAGAAAAGATACAAAAATAACATATCCAATTTATCATTAATCTCGAGTGTGAGTACGCAACAAACGGGTAAAGCGACTACAAAAAAGACAAAAAGAAAACAGAAACATATTTACGAGAGTCGTGTGCGTAGCTCCCCAGTGTAGCGATTGTGAACGTGAGATCGAAAGCGAAGACAATAAAAAACATTCGTGTATATCGTGTTGAGAAGGTGAACAAGAAAACTCCGGCGAAAGAAATGATTGAAGGTGCACCGAAGATTGCATTTTAATAGCGAACAACATCAGCATCACCGACGTCGCTGATTCTCACATCGAACGCAATTAACTATTATCTTATTGACGCGATTTGAAGTTTTTGATAAATACATACACATACAAAAAAGAAAAAGTCAATTTGCCACAGACACTTTGCCCGTCGCATCGAGACGAAAGTGGTTTGCTGTCGAGGCACGAATCGTGAGTGTGAGTGTGAGCTGAAAAAATTAACATGTAAATTGTTGAAAAGAAAAAAAAACATTCGTGAATGAAGAGAAATTAAAGCAAGAAGAGAAAAAATACATATATAAAAAGGAAAAGTGCATCTTTGGTAATATTTATTGGTAAGCGCAAAGGAAGTGAGTGTATCAAAAGAAAAGTTGTTGGAAACTGCAGAAGTCAAAGGGAGATATCATGGACAAAATCAAAGTGAAAATCGAAAATATGGAGATATCAAACGCAGACAATACTTTGAAGCCGGCTCTAAGTTCGACAAAATCGATCGACGAGGGTTTTGAAAGTGATCCTGATCGTGAGCTATCAAATGCGGAATCAGATTCAAATCATTTGCAGTCGGCTTTGGTGGTGGCTCAATCACAGACGTTTGATGTTCTCCAAACAACTGATCGTGATGGTGTGCAACACACACAAATAACTCGTCGACCGTTACACACCGACTTTCCAGGTCATAAACCATTCGAAAGCGGTACAGTTTTGAGCGCAAGCGAAAACCTACGCCGTAACCAAGAATTGGAAAAGAATCGCATCGTTTATACTAATCCAAAAGTATCAATTCCACGTGCTGGAGCCGCCAATCAACGTATTATTATGACAACAAATGGTTCGATACAATCAACACAATTGGCACATTTGACACCAAACCATTTACAATACAATGCATCACCAATTGACAATAATACGACAATCGTCGATCAACATAATCACCGACACCGTTTAGCGGGCAAATCACTTGAGCTTGGCAATTCCCGTTTAGCGAAATCGACCGAACTGATGTTACGTAGTGGAAATACTGGACGTGAGCGTATGAACTTCCCAAATACAATGAACGATAATCTATCACAAGTGGCACTCATAAATGGCAAATTGATTTGTGTTAATATGCCCGTTACACAAATCATTCCAGCGGCATCGATACCATCCGCATCAGCCTCCTCATTTGCGAATGCATCGCATAATCACATTATTCATAACTCTAAGCGACATTTTTCGAATAGCAGCAATAGTAATACCGCGGGAACTGGCAATCAAGCGACAAAAATTAACAATCATCATCATCAAAAGTACATTAGCAATGGTCGCAATAGCAATAGCAACGGCAGCAGCAGCAACAACAACAACAACAACACCAATAGCTGTGTCGTCGCAAATGACGCGAATTCAATCGCCCAACAAGTGAATAATGCGATTATACAAAATGCGAATAGCAGCATTCATACGTTTTATCCGGCCGAGGGAAATATTAGTTTGATACACTCACAGTATGGCCTCAAATATAAATCAACACATTTGAACAGAATACAAGAGCAACCAGCACCGATTTCACTTTGGTCACAGTCACTGGCACGCCAGCCAAGAAGGTAAATTATTTTATTCTCCCTATTTATTCACATTTTCTATTTCCACGAATCATTAATCAATTCAAAAAATGAAAATTTCTGTTATCAACATTTTTACATGCCTTGCTTATATGCACTGAATGCATTTTCTAAATGATTATCATCGTTTGCGCATTTTATTTCGAATTTGTCATTACTTGTTAGATTTTTGCAAATGCATTAATCAAGCTCTAAAGTGAATGGGAGTGAGCAGCCAAGCCGAACTACACAATTGACCAGCAAAAATAGAAATCATTTAACTATAGGTCAAAATAAATTCAAAATATGTACATATGTATACAAATTCCGAATTTTCGCTGACACTAGACAGTAATGATCAGTGCCATAAGCAACTCTACTGCGCATTTGCATCTCACAATGACACTCTCACATATTTATGTTTAGATAGTGAGTCAATAGTTTAGATTTTTGTTTCGTTATTCAAACTTTATCCGATGAATATGCAAAATGGATGAGATGAGCTCATTTCGACTTTGGCAATGTTACAATGATATATTGAATGTTATTCTGCAGAGTATACCGCTCGATGAATTTATCATAGACTAACTAAAATTAGCATATAACAAGGGATATTCATTTGTGGCAACACTGCAAACGTATGCATTGTCAGAATTGCCATATTAATATAAGTTTATTTCCATAGCCTGCACGTTTTATACGAGGGTCAACTTAACGCATTATTTAAACAGCTACACTTACAAGATGGCCATATCATACAATAAATCGCTTGTGTGCGTTGTGTTGTATCCAAATCATATTTTTTTCCAAAATGAGAGGTTAGGCGTTAAAATTTGGGCGTCCATCGTGGTGTATGCTAGAAAACTAAGAGATGAAACGAAGAACTTCCAACGCTTTAAACTTAAAATAGTTTCAACGCAAACAATCCAAATATATACAAATGTTCATACTGGACTGAGTTAGAACCGATAAACTCATCGGTCGGTATGCTTAGTTATTTTATCGATCCGAAACCAGTAATGAATCTGCATGTGGACGTGACAGCTTATTATTATTTAGAAACCGAGAGATTTCAAGTATTGAAATTTTGCATATTTTTCACGATGTGAACACGCCAACAATCACAAATTAACAATTCCCAAGTGCTAATCCACAAAAAATGTAGTTTAGCCAATAAATTAATGGATGTAGTTGTTGATTAATCTCCTTTCTATCAGATGGTCTTTGTACCCGAAAAAATCGATACTGCTATCAAAATATTGAATTTTAACCGGGTAGATTGATAAACAGGTTTGTTTGCTTTTCCATGGAAACCAACACTATTTTAATCTTTTAAAAAAGTGTTCCTGTCGGATTTGACACGTACTATACTACATATAGGTGTCCTTAAACGCCTGTTTATTCAACTTTGCAAGTGTCACGACATCAGATTCCATCTGGGCGTTTTAATACATTGTTGTGTAATTCGCAACGAAACCAATTATTCAGCTGTTGACTCCGAACATATGGCCAGCAAAAATACACTGCAGCTCGAAATCATAAATTCAATAATCGTTTTGATTCGTTATCCATCCGCTTCTTTCAATAATAACATTGTTCGAAGCAAAAAGAGAAACAGATGAACAGAGTGTTATGAACAGTGTTATCTGTTCATATAATTGACATTTAAAAGTATAATTTTTCAGCAGTTTTCTATAAATTTGGGTTGTTTTGCTCGCTCTCGAGACAACCAACGATGGGATAATCGAAAAAGAGGAGGAGAAGAAGAAAAACACAAAGTTTGTGATAGCAGATTACGAAATCGGAATAACCATCGCATTCGAATATGTATGTGTGAACGGCTCTCGCATGGATTATAAGACCAGATCACTTTTCGAGGCCATCCGCCTTAGCGAGCACACTTTTGTGTTTTTACTTACAACAGTCACCTGAATATATGAGAAGCGGTTCAAAAAAATACGACCTAACCAAATTTGATGATACTTTTGTGAGATGGCATCGTTCAAACGAATGACTCGACTTTGCCCACTTACTTACTCTTGTGATGCTCTATATGATATTCAGTATGCTCAAGATAAAATTACAATAGCTGAGACCGAAGAAATGCCGCCGCCGATGTTTTGCACGTATACGATTTCGAGCAGATAGTTTACGCGATTCCTATGAATGAAATGAATCGAACCCATTCAAAGCATATGATATGGAAAGGTGTATAAATGTAATAATGATGTCAAGAAAAACATCACAAAAGACAAGAGCTAGGGAAACCAAAACCGAAAGAGTGTCGGTGACAAAAATTCAGTCAAATAAACGTATTGATGATATTATAACATGGTTGCTTTAACAAACTATTCATTTAACTCAAGTTGAATACACTGTTGCGTCGGATTCCAGCGAGCGTGAAGCCCTTTTTTCGATATAAGATTCGGAATGTAAGCGTAAGTAAATAAATGATACAAAACCAAGAAAATGGTTCAGCAACTATGTATGCATTTCAGTTGAATGTGTTATATGTGTTCACGGAGTGTGTTTGCCTGAAAAAAAGGCCAGAAAACCAAAATGTGAAATTTATTGCGATCGCCAACACTTGCGCAGAGAATGAAACTGAATATGATTGAATAATGGCATAAAAATACCGTCTGAAAATGAATGGCACTTATCGAAGATTCATTACGAATGACGGTGAATTATAGCCGTTTTTTCTCTTTCGCATAGTGATTCATTGTAGATTATTTCATATATATTTTTTGATCAGTGTTTGATTGACGATGTTTTTCGCTTGCGTATTTTTATTTTTTTTTTCTGGTCGTCTACATTTTAATCATGTCTTGATGTTACGATTTCGTAATTTTATCAGCGTTTTTATAGGGTTTCAGCGGATGCATCGGCTACGCTACTATTCCAAAATAATAAGAAAGAAACTCTACGACTGTCTATTTGGTGAATGCAATAAAACAATACACATATCGCTTTCGTTTGTCGCAAAAAGAAAAATTACTAGCTTGAAGACGGCGATTGAGTGAAAGAGAAATGTAAAATTCAAGCCAAGCAAAGACATATATATATATAATTATTATTCATCTTTATTAACATTTATAATGGGATTTTCTTGTTCAACGTCAGGCTTCAGCAACTTATTTTCACCAAAGCTGAGGTCTTTACTTCAACGCATCGATTCAACAAATATATATATATTCCTTATTATTTTTCCGTACACAACGTGCCAAGGGAAAGTATAGAAATTGGTCCCCAAAACTTTTTTCGCAAAATTAGCTTAGATCATCATAAAAACTCATGAAACGCGTAGAAAACCACTTTTTGAGACACTTTTCCGTTCGTGTGCCGTCGTTGTCGTCGTTGGTGTTTGTTAACACGATAACTCAAAAAATAATTGAGATAATCCAAATCTGAAAGTCCCAAAAGATTTGTATCCAATAAAATTAGTTTAAATTCGGAGATGAGCCATTTTCGATTTGACCCTGGGGTACTTGCCCTAAGAAAAATCTCAAAAAATTGACACTTTTGTATGAGAGGTATTCGTAAACCGATCCTTATTGGCTTTAAACTTTCTGATGTTTCATTTTTTGGAGAAAAAATAAGATTCTGAAAGTTTCATGTTGATCGCATTTGCAGAAGTTTGATTTTTTGTCCTCAATTTTTGTCGAAATTTTCTTGGAAAAAATTGAGGGCCAAAAACCAAACTTCTGCAAATGCGATCAACATGAAACTTTCAGAATCTTATTTTTTCTCCAAAAAACGAAACCTCAGAAAGTTTAAAGCCAATAAGAATTGGTTTACGGCTACCTCTCATACGATAATTTGTTGGAGTTTTAGTTAAAGTGACCGATTTTTCACTTTATTTTTATTATTATATTTTCACTGCCTTTATTTCAAGAAAATTCACAAAAAATAACCAAAAGTACATACGGACAACGCAGGCCAACGGTACGAAAAAGTTCGGGATTACCAATGTAATTCTTTTTATTTAATATAAGCTTCAATTTAGAGGATTCGCTGTGAATAAATGTCTTATGGATTAATGAACAAATTTGGGCATGTGATAATAATAGAATTATGAAAGTAAAGCAAACCATTCCGTCAATAATTATGAATTTAGCCTGCAGGTAGCATCATTTGGGCCAAAATATTGATAAAACAATGCAAAACTGAATGGTCGTTTTGGTACAACTTGACGTTCTATAATATTTGATTGCTCTACATGTATCATCTACCTCAAATTTTTGATCGTTTCCACTCGAATGTAAATCTCATTTTCATGTTTACCTTTAATTTTGTTTTTGTTTTTCAATTTGATTCAATTTAAATTAACACCGTATTTCGAATATATTTTATGGGTACTTTAATTGCCATACTAATCTTAAATGCTGTTGCGACTGATAATAAATTTCATTCCATATTCGTCGTCTGACGAGTGAAATGGAGAAAATGATATATGTATTTGCCACCAGAAAAAGCGACATCCGAGTCATCTCATTAGGCGGTATATTCAAGTCTTGGACACAGTAATTAAATGCCATGTTTTGTGACACACATTTCAATAAATCAACGGTGGAATACTAGCTGATTCTGGTGATCGCAATTTTCCATTTATGTACTTGATGTGTAAAGTGTACACACCAAACCGTTGTTGTCTATGATGGCATGCACCATCCATCATCGTGTGCCGTCCATCAAGTGAGTGCCATAAGTATATTTGTATGTTATTCATACGTATATGCTTGGGACTTTTATCGCCTTACCTATTCACATTCGTGGTGCAAATGACCAAAGAAAACATAGTAATAAAACTGAACCAAGTCACATAAAAATGAAACAAATGTTTATGGAATGATTCATTAGTTCAGTCTAGCTGATAATAGTTTGCTGTTGACCGCATTCCCGACGATTTTTTTCCACTATGGACATTGTCTTTGCTTGGCGGTTATGTTTTTTATGTTCATTTGTAGAGCGCGCGCAGCTTCGTCAATTTATGAATGAAATTCTCTTTTCAATATCTTTCTCTTTCTTTTTCCTATATATATCGCGGCATTTGTTGAGAAGCCGGCGTCGACTCGCCGAACATAAATGGCGATGTGACTTTGCCCATTCTGGCATTCGTGTCCAATGTGCGAAGGAGAGAAAGGAAATAAATGTTGAATAAACATATTTGGTGTAATATTACCAGTTGAAACTAGTTGGTTGCTCATTTCTTGTGAACAAATTTGCTCCTCAAACGCTCCAAGATTACTCTCACGTTTTGAATGAAATCCCAAAACACACAATCGCAATTTGAATGAATTTCCGCACACAATCTGACCCAATCATTTGCATTGAAATTCGAATACAATTTTGAATATCAGTTCAATATGATGAACAATAACATTGAATGAGTCACGATATAGTTCACCCTGAAGAAGTATTTGATTCTGTGCCGTTCGCAGGAAATCGAAATAAAAACCAGTTGTAAAAATTAAACCACGAAATGAATTTCGCATTCAAAATGATTACATATTGCAATATTTTTTTTCTGCGTGAAAAAGTATTTTATGTGTTTATAATCGCGTCAAATAGCCGGGGGCATGGTACACTTCAGATAAAAAATGGAGCGGATATATTTAATAATTTGGTTGGAGGTTTTGATATAGTTGGTGGGAATAGACTTTACTCTCAAATTGAAATGTATTAATGGCTCGGGTAATTAAAAAATATTCACTTTTTACATCCACAAAAATACATCTTTTTGCCATTTGGTCTATTGAGCTCAAATTTGCTTAAGATAATGCAAAACATATACCGAAAAAAGAGCAATTTCCGAAGGCAACTATTTGCATGTAAATTATGCACAGAGCAGATAGAAAATGAGAAAGTTCAAATTTGATGAATTTTTTCGGAATATATGAACAAGTGTGGGATTTCTCATCATTAGCAATTGATAATATTACATATTGAGTGATATTTTTCACAACATTTTTCGTAATGAACTCAAATTCACCTGGAAATATAGCAAAAAATATGTATTTCACCCAAATTCACATTTCCGCCAGTTTTTTTTTCTCTCTCTCTTTTCTCAAATGACCCAAAAGTGAACTAAATCAAAAATTGATTATTTTATATTGATTCAGCATCGCAAAAATCGTTTGAGAAGAAGGGAAAAATGGAATTAAAATTGAAAATACACTTTGAACGATACGTGCAAAGCATAAAAATTGATTTTCCCATCTGCATCGTATCGTCGGTTTTAAATACAAAGTAAAGCCAATGTCTTTTCTTTCATTTGACTTATAATTCAAGGAGTTGTTTCTATTTTTTTTAACGAAAAGTTTTCCTATTGTAATGTTCGGAATGCCACATGTAAAAAATGGAAAACGAACAAACAAAAGAACATACAAATGAATTGGAAAGGAATGATAACAACAAATGTGAGATGTACTTACTATATTATATGTATACAAAAACTGTTCGAATCAGTTTCACTTGCACTCGAAACACATCCATCAAAGTGCACAAATCGAGCAAGTGAATAAGAGCTCTGGCTTGATTTGGTGAGGTAAAAGGTAAATATGGCAAACAAAAATGTAATGTTTTATCTGATGGAAAGAGTGTAGCATCGGTAGTTGTGGCATGCAAAAAGATTCCGGTACATTTCCCAACCCACGACTTTTCGATATTCCAGCGTGAAATGCGTTGCAATAATAAAATCGATCGAAATGCCAAGTTATGCTGTGCATTGTTACACCACTGATAATCAATGAGTTTTTGTGGTTTGAATCGGAACGTTCGTACAGTTTTCATTTCGTTGATTTATCAAATGTGAAAATGCAAACACTTATTACACAGGAAGATATTGAAAAAATGGATCATAAATATGCGTGAAACGATAAACGGAAAGGAAAACTTTAGAAAACTGCATTCATTAGAGAGTTTTTCAAAAATAACTGCATCCTATGCAACGCATCATATGCAATAATACGTGATGCTTTCAATCATAAATATGGCAGAAAGCATTTGAGTTCCCCTCTTCTTCTTTTTTCTTGTTATTGTTTCTGTTATTATTACAGTCTTGTAATTTTTCGAAAGCAATGAGAAGTGTTACGATGCGCTGTGCTGCCGTTATATTTATTTCATCTAATTCATCAAATTGTTTGCATTGAATCGCGCACACATATCTTGCCTAAATCATAGCACACATAATTCACTGGAATACAATTGACTCGACATTCATAATATAGGCTTTTCACTGCGATTCTCTCGCTGAATATTTCATTTGTTGTTTCTTTTCATGGGCTAATTAAATGCATATGAATACGATTTGAGCTGCCATATTGCATTTATTTTACGTTCCCGACTAATGAAGCACATTGGTATGCAATTGTTTTTGATGTTCCAATTTTAATTTCAGACTCTCAAGTCACATGGACATTATATGCCAAACTACTCAAAATTGGCACACACACACACACACACACAATGCAAATTATAAAACAAAGTTGAAAATGAAAACGATTTTGCTATGCTCTCCCTGCTTCGTACTCAACAAACGTCGGTTCGCAATTATTCAATGTATATTCGCTCACCTTTTTATAAGTTCAACGTGATACGCTTAATAGTATCGATTTGGATGCTTCTCTAAAAGATCTGTTGTTGTGTTGTGATGGTCATCCAAAACATGTGTGCCCATATACTGCTTTACAATAAATACATTGTTCAAATTATTAAAAAGTAATTTGATGCCAATGTTCATGGATATTCCGATGGTCATTAAAACTTATACTATTGCCTTATTCATTTGGACTTGAATGAAATTGAAAACATAGCAGCAGCAGCAGCAGCAGCAACAACAACAACAACAACAACAACAACAACAACAACAAGAAATCATCTGCAAAACTCCCTGGCATTTTTTCTTTTTGTTAAGTGCAAATTGACCAATCAATCAATTAGGTTTATTATGCGAAAGATACAATCAACCTGTAAACTATTTGCCCGATGACAAAAACCAGCTATATGTTTCGTTTCTGTTAGCAAAAACTTCAGACCGTGTCAAATGGGCTGTTGTTTTCAAATGTATTTCAAGAATTTACGGCATTTCAATTGTTGCATATATTTTATTGAAAGCGAATCGCTCGCGTTTTTCCTTTCTACATCGAACTAAAGATTGAAACAGACGATGAAATTGAAAATTAAATATACTTTTTGTGTGAGATAGATGTTTCCTAACACTCTGAATGAGTACAGAAGACTTGAAAAGCATCACGGTACGGTCACTGATATTGATCGAACTCACTTGATTTTGGGATCGTAAATTAACCTTTCTTATTCAAACAAATTCAAACAACAGACAAGACGTTAAAGTTTGATAAAATTAGCCTATCAAGTAATTCAGCAACTTAATCAAATCGATTAAATAAGGGTTTCGTTGATTGAGTTATAATTTTAAGGTCTAGTCACTTATTTCGTAATATCGTCGATTGAAAATTAATTTGTGTTTTCCCTTTTTCGTTGTTGCAGGTTGTTGTCGACGTCATCATCATCATCAAATGAACCGCAGACGGTAATTGCTCATCATTCTATGGCCGTAAAGCCACCAAGTGGCCTCTCGCAGAAACTCAAAGAATTGGCTTCATCAGCTGGACTTCTGTCACTTTCGTCTGGATCATCATCACCGTCTCCCCCTACATCGTTATCCAGTACGAATGCCAAAAACAAAATGCCATTAAAACCTGTGATCAAAACCAAAGGTTCACCAGTTTCCATTGATTATCCGAAAAAAGTTACGTTTAGCGATTTTGCAACTGTCCAGGTTGTCTGATCGCCAACACACATGCAACATTACCTGAGAGAGAAACAGACATGCACAAACAGCTGAATAATCAAACTATCGAATGCGAACTGAAAATACAGACAGAGAAATACAAAAATGCGCTCCCAAAAACATTATCGTACAAATTGCCTAGTAAATTATACGTTGGCGCTGTTTTATAGCTGCTATTTGTTGTCGGTTACTTTAATTGGCTAAAGAGCACAGAAATAGAGAAAAAATCAATTTTGTGTTTGGATTCTGCGTCTTTCCTTTAGCTATCGATATGATGGGTCTCTTTGAGTGTGCAATATCGAAAATTGGTCAAAGCACTTTCACATCCACGACCACGGCGAATGTATCGAATTAAAAGCCGTCAAACTTGTCGGAGTGCATGCGTTGATCGCTTATCGTTTGAAACACCTAACAATTAAATTGTCATATAAAAAATAGCCATGCTCAAATCATATGCTGTCCAATCGACAATACCCACCTCGAACGAAACCATAATGGATAATTCACGGCTTTCGTAGAATGCTCAAGCTGTTATTTCCATGGTCAATGAACGTTTCGTTGACACTTTTCGAGCGCACATCGATACCGATGGAAAGCACGTTTGTAGAAAAGGTGTTAATAGGTTGGTCAAGTGTTTCTTTGATCCGAAAATCACCTCAATACTTTCAATACTACTGAATTATTGATCTGGTCAGCAACGCTTTTTCAGCATGTTGAATTAATAGCTGTTATTTTTCCTTTCTTCTCACATCTCTCGCAGCTACTGCACCACGCGAGAAACTTCATCGTATTGCTTTTTTTGTTGATCTTATTGTTTTGTTTGCGTTTTGAACAATTGGTTTCACATCGGAATCGTGAATGGCAGCGCATGACCATTTTCTCACCTGAGATCATAATTAAATTAATCGGCAAAAGAATCCAAATCCATTTTTTTTGGCTTTGTGGCAGAGTATAGAAAAAATTGAGAGTTTGATCTAGAAAGTTTTATTTTCTTAAATCAATTAAAACTTTCTTTTCACTTGCTATATATCTTGCTTCATTCACAGTTTTCCACGTGTATGCGAAATTATTTTTCCAAATTATTTTCAGTTCAAACTGCAACTTTATTTCAAATTAATGTTTCATACAGAAAAATATGCCTCATAGAAGTTTTGAGGTTGTATGGCGTTCCATCGGTGAATTTAAATGAAAGATGTTCTAACTGGAGCTTACCTTAAAAGTATCCGTTGATTTTTGTACGAAAATCGATGAGGATAAATTCTCTTCTTCAAAAATGAAACGTCCAACGTATTTGTTTTTGTATAATTAATAGAAACGAGAGACACCAAAACTACTATACATATTTTTTATTTGTTTTTGTTTTTGATAAACTCGTTCACATGCACACTTAATTGAATAAAATACACAAACTGCAACAAAATGCCCCTAATTAAAGAGAGATTGTTTTGAATTTATTGTCTTTATAAATTCAAAATCAATTTGACATTGTTTTTTATTTATTTCTTCTTCATGTCTTGTTTACGGCTGATTTTTGTAAATTTTGTTGTTATTGTAAAAGAAACAGATGTGACTAGGAAATGAAATTGACTGGAGTTTAGATATGCGTTGAATTAAGTAATTAAGATGTAAATTGATTTTCTCGTAGTGATTTTGTAACACAATTTATGCAAACGCATGGAAAGAAGGGCATATTAAATCGATTATTTAAGAGAAGATTGTAAAAAAGTATCAAATTACAAGTTTAAAATAAAATCAAATGTATCAAATTTCTCGTGCTAATTTAATCAATTGTTTCCTATAGCTGCTTTGATATTTCTTTTATTTAAATTTGTTACGTTTATTTTTATGGTCAATTCAAATTTGCAGACAATAAAAGTGAGCATGGGAATTTTTTCACTATTGATGAAATACTAAATAAGAAGTCACGCGTCACAACATTTTTTCATACGCCAACACTGATAGCAAATAGAAATGGATTCAACAAATGAATAATGGTGAGTTTCTGTCGTTGTTAGTGATCATATAAAGCTAATATACGGTTACTATGCTCACGCTCAGTCGTTTGCGTAGTTCAATTAAATGTGCAATTCGTGTGAAAAACACAAAACTCAAAAACAATTGTGTGTAACAGCGACATTGACCCATTCTTCCTCTTTTCTTTTTTGATAATTAATTTAGCGTTTGACATATTACATGACATCGTGATCATAACGCTATTTTTGCTAAATTTTACAAATGTTTCGTACTCTCCTCATCATAAATATTGAGACATCAAATCTACCAATGATCACCTGTTAAAATCAGATGACATTTTCACAAAAATTTTAGTATCTGATGACCTTTTTCGTCTAGTGTTACAACACAATATTAGATCGATTTTTTAGTACTTTGGCCAATACTTGACCAAAAGAAAAATGGTAGGAAATGTGCTATTTTTTGCTTTACAAACAAATTTGGATTTCGATGAATTTGTTAATTAACCTTGATGAATGAGATACGATGCAAAAAACTCACAACCAAAAGAAACTTCATCGAACTAGTTAATAATTAATTATATGTGGTCACTGGTCAGGGCTCGGCAACACCAGCGTGAATCGAAAAAATATATTTCAGTGGCCGCACCGAAAAAAAACTGGTTATGCTTGGCCGGATAGAAAGAGAAGGTGCGTATCATTTGCACTGACACGAAAACCGGCTTTTTACCGAAATTCGTTTAATTAATTGGCTGGAATGAAAACGCTTTTCCCTCTTTTGAAAGAGTAAATCGCTAAATGAAAGTAAAACACAAACGCAATCGGTGCCGGAAACAAATCCAATACTGCACTGCATACATGGGGAAATGCTGCGTTCAATTCGGAATTTTTATTTACGCCTACATTTTTCTAGCTTCATTTCGAAAATAAAGACCAGAAAACTTACAATACACCCAAAGAAAAGAATGTAAAATGCTGATTGAAGGTGGAAAATTGAAATGGGAGCATGATGTTCGCTGCTTGACTTCTGGTGACGAGCCTGAATCAATTTATAATACAATTACAATATATGCGATTTTATGTCCAGCCAACGATCAATAATGCCACAGTCTTGCGACTGTGAGAGTATCCAATTTATGCGCCCTTTATACGGTGAACCATAAGTAAGGGCGTAGACATTTATAAATGGAACTGGGCATTCTGTCATTTGCGCAAATGTATCGTATAAACGGCCTTTACTCACCATATAACGCAGTTTGTGCTCCTTATGAGCGTATGCATATGATGTATCTTTTTCAAGCACACGCTTGAATATTTCGAGTGGGTTATCGACGGAGTCTATTCGTCCCAAGAGATTTTGATATTCTTTCGAATTAATTAGAAACTCATTCATCAAGTCGGCGTATTTTTGTAGGGTGAGTATGTGATAATTCGATACCTCTAGCTGCTGCAATGTTTTTATATCTGGCAATCGCGGTTTTACCATCAAGTAACTCGTCAAATTGCTATTATACCAATTGGTTATAACAGCCGAATACGTAATCCAAAGTCCGAGCATTATCTTTGCCAACTTGGTTTTAGGTGAACGCATATACGGTTGATTCACATTCCACCCAAAGAGCCGCAAAAATGCATGGCTGAATGAATGTGATTCATACGAACCACGTCGTTTGTTATAATGAAGATGAAAAAAGAGCGCGTAAATGGGCAGCGCAATTAGTATAAGTATCCAAACTGGTGATTCAAACGTATCGAAAATGTTATCCAGATTTAATGAGATTCCCGTTCGTGGCACAAGTATGCACAAATCTTCGCGTCCAAGCGACACAGTCGGCTCGATAATGTTTTGAAAGTGTTGCATTCGAAAGAATCTTGCATTAAAACTTACGTCTACCGTTTCGTTTTCCAACAGAGCGAAAATTCCCGTTGATCTATTGGGAAAAAATTCACCCAAATTGGCACCATCCTTTGGTTCAATTAGTTTCATTGTGGCGTTCATTCTTTTTATTACCATGCCACCGAAACCTCCATCAATACCCTTCATAATGGGTTTTTTATCGATATAAGTAATTTTCGCACGCTGTTCTTCTTCAAACATGCCCACTTTCAGTTGATGACCGTTGAGATTGATTGTTTTATCATAAAATATGCGTTCCGGATTAGTTTCATTCAGGTTAAATGGTATCAAGAACTGTTTGCCAAATGGTGAATATGTAAAAACGTTTAACTCGTCTGTCCAAAATACAATGATTACATTCAATACTTGTCGTTCCCAGAATTCATTGAATATTCGATTCAATTCGTCACCGAATGAATGTAAAGTGACTCTTTCAGTGAATACTATTGCGTAGTTTGTGTATTCCTTGTTTTTCATCTTTTTTCTGACATATGATAAGTTTAAATCTTGGGCGTTCTTTAGAATGTTCAGGGAATAGAGTTCAATTCCAATGTCTTTATGTTCATATGGATTGATATCGATATGTTGCTTTTGAGAACTGTCGTACCTGATTAAGATGCGAATGAGTCTTACGAATTCATAAAAATGTCAAGCATATTTGGTTTGCTTCTTACCCATTCAAAATGAGTCCAGCAGATGAACAACAGCTCAGCGTATGTATAACTCGATTAACAAACACAAATGGAACACGTTTTTCGATTGAAACACTCATAAAAATAGACCGAACTTTGCAAAATACATTTAGAATATATTTCAATATGTGATTTTGATAGTTGGTTGATGCTTCAATAATTTGAAAATGATGGTTTATTTCGGTTGGCGATGATTTTGAATCAGCCATAATCAAGGTGAGTAAAAAAATGGAAATAAAAATTCGAAACATTCTGTGAGAAAATGATCTGACTTCGTGTACGGCCAACAATTAACTACGTCTAAAATCGTTTGATTGACTCCTCCAATCCATTTTGCGATTGATTTTGTGACACATTACTATCATACATGAAGAATAAGCAGGAAAAGCTATAATTTTCCATTGTGCTCAATTATGACATTAACTACAATTTAAATCATGCATAATAATCCTCCTCTGCAAATGACATAGATGTCATCGAAACTGACAGCTGCCCAATTTTCTTTGATAATAAGTCAACCTTTACTAAATACTAAAGGTCTTTGAAGGTCAAAAAAACCATTGCAAATCAAGCGCCACGCCACTCCAATACAGGAACATTTGAAATGTATCGAAAGGAAAAAAATCCACATGTGACAGTTTTCTTTTTCCTAACGAAATGAGTAAAAGCCATTTCTGATATGAAAGCACCGATTGCAGTCACGCACCCCAATACATAAACGTAGAATGCTGTTTGCTGTACGGAAGAAATGTATAGAGCAAATGATATAAATAAAAATCTTATTCAATCCAATATAAAATAAAATGTACCAAATGCAATAAAGAAAATGGGACTAATCCATTGCCGCCATGGAGTTTTGCTTGAGTTTTTTGTTCGCTCACCGTATTCACTGAGAAATTTATTAAAAGATCGATTAAGTAATGATAAGATTAAGAAAGAACTGTCAAAACTACAAACCGCGTTCCCATTTATCAAGAAGTCCTCCTTCTTGCGCTTGCCGAATGATAAAATTGATACGACCTTTGTATGGAATACCGAATCAGACTAGTTACATGTTCAAAAGGAAATTAGATTAGATTTACCTTTATAAGGTGTACCATAGCGAATGCCGTAAACGCCCAAGAAGGGGACCTGCAACGAAGTAAAATCCCAATGAAAAAATAGTTTTTTGGTTTGATAGATAGTTAACATACAGCACATTGTTGCACGTGATGGAAATAAATCGATGAATCTTGCGTGTAAATACGCCGCAAATGCACATTTATATGATATTTATTGGCAAACGCATATGATGGATCAAACTTTGTCAACAAATCGTTAAATTCGTCGATTGTCCCATTGATCAGTTTCTTAAATAGAGGCTTGTAAACGCCATTGTATTTTGGGTCGCTGAAAAACTCAATGATTTGCCGATTGTATCGTGAAAATGACATGACTTTCAAATCGCTATTGGCCAATTGCTCGATATTTGCTATGTCGGGTTGATCTTTAGGGATGATCAAAGACCCAGACATTTTGCCTTGGTACATTGAAGAGAGCAGGAAAACGCTAACCACCCAAAAGATAATTAAAATTCTTTGACGATTGGTTCGTGGAATAAAACTGGCTGATTGTTGTAGCATGTAGGCAAAAAATTGAAGAAGGAAATACTGCAATGAATGCAATCGATTGTGGCGAAAAACCAATAAATAGAACACTATCGTATAGCATGGCAATGAAATAAAAATGGAAATCCAAGTGTATTTGCGAAAAGGCCGAAATATATTTGCGAAATCCGGCGCCTTTCCTTTTCTTGGTACTAAGAAGCAAATATCGTCTCGGCCAATCGCATGGGTTGCTTCGACTTTCCCCTCAAATTGATTTAAGCGGTAAAAACGCACATTCAATCCCAAATCATATTTGCCACTCATTAAAGCCGCTAAACAGCCAGTTGATGTTTTGTTGGGAAACAATTCACCAATTTCCAATCCATCTTCTGGTTCAGATAGTTGCAATGATGCATTCATTTTTTCTACGATTAAACGTGTCAGCAAACCGTCAGTTCCCTCTAACGCACTCATGTTGTTTCTGTTGTTTTTATCGAACCGTGCCCGCGATGAGTCATAAAATCCAATCACTTTTAATGGAGCGCCATACATATTGCGGGCTTTGTCCCAAAACAGTCGTGAATGATTGTGTAGGTCTTTTCCATGAATGAAATCCAAACTCAACTCCGGGAAAGGATGAAATGTAACAGCGTTCACACTAAAATTCGAATAGTATACGACTAGTGCATTTAGCACTTGTTTGTCCCAAATTTCCGCGAAAACTTGTTCCAATTCCTTGGGCGGACTTGAAAACTCCTCTTCCAATAAAATGATATATTTTGTTCGTGGCTTCCTTGGCAACCGCTTTTCAATCCAATCCAAATTAATGTTTTCGAGATTTCGCACAATATTTAAACTATAAACTTGAATTCCAATAACTGTGTCACTTATCGTCCTCGGATAGTCAATCCTAAAGTCATCTGTTCCATTCCAATCATACCTTACCGAAAAATGTGGTATTTGGAATGAGTTATGTGTGCATATTTCTGAAGGGAATGGTGTAAATCAGGCGATAAAAAATGTATTTACCTTGAGATCAATACGCCAGCCGTGATACATTTATTTATTCGGCTGATCAATACATCTGCAATGAACGATGACAATGATCTTTCTACGTATATGTGATTGAAACGATAAAAGCTGCCAATGCACATGAGGTGGGTAATGTACTCAATAAGCACATGATAATATCCCACCGTTTCTTCTTCGATCGACCGAGGAAATATGAATTCTTCAACGTCGATATCGAGCGTCTGATTTGTTGCCTCGTTCGAAGCAAGAATGGCCAATAGCACAAATGCGGTCAATAAGAATCTTTTTTTATGTTCGTTCGTCATTTTGCGACTTTTTTCCTTCGTTCTGTTGCACGCGAGTGACGATGTTAATGCTCCTGTTTCACACACGGAATTGAACAACAATTGCCTACGGTGAATGTCAGAAGCCGCAATAGGTCGTCCCTGATGTACGTATCCTATTCAAATATTCAAACGCGCAATTAGTTATATTTACGATGAAAAATATATTTATTAGGTCGTTTGATGTTACAATTCCGTTGAATGCATAAGCTATCCAATTTGTTGCGCGTGTCCCTTCTACGCTATAACTTTTGAAATATTTGCCAACTCAATAATATTATGATTACATAGACAACAGTCGCAAACATATCGAAAAAAAAGATTAATTATTGCGGCGAGACTTATGCTAACCCGTTTAAATGACAACTAATTACAGAAGTAATAGAAATATTCATCAGTAACTAAGCCAACGGCTGTTAAACAACATCTTCGTATTTACCAACAATGAGTAGACAGACATTACGTTGAAGTGTTTACACAAAACATTCACTCCACATTTCATGATGAAATCTAGTATGAATAGGTTTTAAATGTAAATTGTAAGGTTTCGTATTCACATTCAACTTTTCATCATTTCTATGAAACTTTCTCTCGCTCTCTCATTTGTTTTTCTCTTCCAAAAAAATATGATGATTTTTTTTTAAAAGATATGATGCAAACCACCCCACCTTTAAGCACAACCAATAAAAAGAATGTTTAAGAATTAACACTATGCACAACGTAGTTTATTCAAAGTGGTGCATGCCCACCAAGGTATCATGCAATAGTCATAATTTGCCCATTCAGTTGAACGACTATTTATTGACGAGTGAGTGATTTGGTGCAGGAATTAAAACAAATGAAGCGCTTGAAACTCCCATGAACAGGTGATTGTGGCTACATCAAACAAAATCGCAAAAAAGATTCTAAATTGACCCCCCCCCAATGATTTTTAATCGCTTTACGTGCATTGTATGAATGGCATGTTTCTGGTTTCTCTTGTGCACTAATCTCCCCCATATTTATTAGCATCAGTTCTAATTTATAACCTTTTCTTGATGTGACTAACGAAGAGCAATCACTAAAAACTCTGCGGCGAATACTGAACTGAGCGAATTCATGAAATTTTATGAATAATTTTTGGCAAAATGGTATTTTTTCGGATAAAAAATAACAAAATCAGTCAATGTTTTAGTTTCTGCAACGTAATTGATAAAAATTACTATAAAAATTACATGCGATAGGTGTGTTTAGTTCAGCTCATAATCCAATTTTATTTCATCTGCAAAATATTTCAAAAAAAAACTTTAGATCAGATGCAACGAGCCATTGAATGTGATCGCAGACACTATTGTTTCAAGTAATCAGTCGATGCATATGTGACACGTAGCGGGTAAATCGTTGGGAACAATGTATACCGTTTTCGTTCATTTGTGGCATTGAACCATTAAATTAATACCGAAATAAATTATCAATTACATGTTTTTTCGCTTAGAATCGGAATCGCATTTTGTCGACCAGCCGCATTCGTAACAGTCAAATGGCAATTTTCACACACGTGAAGCAAAACATTCTGAATCGATTGCATTGGAAAAATCTCCACAGAGCCCACAGTTGATTACAATTGAATCATTTGTTAGCTGGCTTTGACACCAACTGAAAGCGAAAGTTGGTGTATCAATTATATTTACTGTGCGCGTGTCTGTAGAAGAAGAGAATCGATCTAATGTACCATATATAATGTTCAGTATTCACTCTCAACAAAAAACTGTTTTCCTACGAATCTTATGTGATTCACTTGTTTATGGTAAACTCAAACTTTGACATATCGAAATCCATAATGAAAACAAAGTGTTCAAACATTGAATAAATTTATGACAGAAAATATGTTGCTTTCATTTACACTAACGTATACAATGGCGAGCTGTTGTGACAGTGCGAAAGAGACAACAAAAGAACGTATAAGAATTCAGTGAACATTTCGGTCCTTCTTTTGCAGAAATAATAATCATTTGAATATTACACATTTATATCCACAGTTGAACAAAAACGCTGTCATTTTGGGAGAGTAACATTTATTCGTTAACACAGGGCATGTTTATTTATGTATTGTGCGCTTGATTTCAATACGTTTGGTATGTGTATACACATATATCAGTGCATTCTTCTTGGTTTGTGTGTGCGTAAGTCCATTTTGATCAAGCGAAATGTAACTTTGTTCTTATAGTGTGCCGAACATTCGAAACGATAACATTGAATGTATAAACTAAAGTGAGGTTATATTACGACGCAATTCAACTAACAATAAGTTTTCGCAAGCATAAAAAGGAAACAAGTCAGTGAAAAAAAATGAAGATAAACCAAAATGATTGTTGATCTTATTTAATTTCGATTATATTACTACTAATGTACTTTGTTTTTATGCAGTTGAGACAATGGATTCACCCGAAACAACCGATTCAGTTCAGAACGCGAAAAAACGTCGAATAGAAGATCCGAATGCAAAAGAGAAGGATGCATCGACAAATGATGCCTCTTTTGGTTTTTTGAATTCCAAACTACTAAAACATATTTTTGCAATGGTAAATCTGAAAGATCTCGCAGCCTTAGGATCCGCGTGCAAAAAATTCAAAAAGAATGCTCGTGAAGTTTTTGCTGAGAAACACGGCAGTGAATTGTTTGAAGTACATGCAACCGAATCGTTGGTGAAAATTGCTGAAATATTGCGGTGCTTCCAAAACCAATTCACAAAATTGGGATTGTTTTACTCCAATAAATCAAAGGCCAATGTCAAAATTGATGTTTTGGTGAACAAATACTGTCATCAATCGCTTAGTGAAATTCAATTCACGGATGTTGGCTTGTATTCCTCGGCGCGTTCGTTCACCTTTCCGTTCTGTAGTGTGACGAGCCTGGTAGTTCATTCAGGATTACTTTCGGGAAAATTGGACGACATCGTAACGTTATTTCCAAACGTAATGAATCTTGATCTTCATCGAGGTGTTCAACCAGGTGGCGCAAAGTAATTGTCCAATATTTGAAAAATCTAATTTTCAGCAATTGTTCTTTCTAATTTTTTTTCTGATCAATTGGCTAACGATTACTTTTTTTGTATTTTCCTAACAAATACAGAGATAACAGCGCAATTCCAACACTGCGCCATTTAAGCTTCAGCTTTGACCCAGATCATGATCTGGATTCATACACTAACCTCTTGGTAAAGACAAATCCACAGTTGATTAGCTTGAAAGTGCATTACTCAGATGAAACTCCAACCGAACATCTTTGGCTGATTCGGGATTCATTGCCAAATCTCTTGCGACTATCGCTAGACGTGAAAATAGTACGTGTGGATAAAGAACCATTCAGACCACTATTATTCAATCATCTCCGTTATCTAAGTATCAACTGTGCTATCAATTCACATGCGTTGAAACTATTGGTAATCACATCGAAATGTCAAATCAAACGGCTAGACATCTCGATTGAAGGAAATGTTGATGCGAACTGCATCAGTTTTTTGAAACGACATCAATCGGATGGTAATTCTTCTCATTTTTCGAATTTTCTATTTTTTACTTTTCCGTACACACCGTGTCAAGGGAAAGTATAGGAATTGGTCCCGAATTTTTTTTCTCGCAAAATTGGTTTTGATCATCATAAAAACTCATGAAACGCGTAGAAAACCACTTTTTGAGACACTTTTCCGTTCGACACATTTCATTTTTTGGGAGAAAAGTGAGATTCTGATCTACGCATACCTCTCATACAAAATTGTCGAAATTTCGACTAAAATTACCGTTTTTATGTAAATCGATTCCTATTGGCTTCAAATTTTCTGAGGTTTCATTTTTTGGAGAAAAAATAAGATTCTGAAAGTTGCATGTTGATCGCATTTGCAGAAGTTCAATTTTTTGTCCTCAATTTTTGTCGAAATTTTCTTGGAAAGAATTAAGGGCCAAAAACCAAACTTCTGCAAATGCGATCAACATGAAACTTTCAGAATCTTATTTTTTCGGTAAAAAATGAAACCTTAGAAAGTTTGAAGCCAATAGGAATCGATTTACGGGTACCTCCCATACGAAATTGTCGAAGTTTTGACTAAAGCTACCGATTTTTCAAGAATATTTAAAAAAATCCAAAAATATGGACAACGGTACGGAAAAGTTTGGGATTACGAATGTAATTCTTTTTATTTTGTATATAAATAAACATGTGCAAAAAATATGGCGAAATTAAATTCTGAATTAGGGCACACTCACACGAATAATTTTCATTCTTTGCAGAGTTACGATTGACTGTGTCAAAAATGAACAATCAACATATTGAACAGCTCAAAAAAATGCTTCAAACAGCAACGAAAGTGGAGTTCATCATACGCAATGACTTCATGGTTTCTCGCAATGGTTTGATGGATTTGATTTCCAAGTGTGAAAAGCTCAAAAGCATCCGCATTGAGCAAACAAACGTTACGGGACTGCCCCCAATCGAGATATCAATGCAAGGCATCGGTGAAAATATTTGGAACAAAGATTGACTAGAAGCGGATTTCTTTTGACTCCTTCCATCATAAACAAAATCATTATTGACAATCTGAATCAAGATAATTTTATTCCATACTAAATAATCTAAACATTTAGAATTAATTGGAGAAAGTAGGAGAACATGTTGAATGTTGTATGTTGTTTAGTTGGTAAACACACCAGACGAAATTTCGAACGAGTTCGAAAAACATTGTAACGTCAATAAGAGATGGCACTAAAAACTGTGCGCTGACTTCCAAACAAAGGAAGGTGATTCACATATAAAAATACCCCATTTCGTATAAGATTTTGCATCTATCAAACGAATAAAAAGTCTAGAAGAAAATATTATTAATTCGATGAATAGAAAAAGCTAATAAAATAACAATCATGCGATACAAACACCCATAAAATCTGTTCAAATTCCATCATGATTTATTGATTTATCGTAATTAATTATTTAAAGTTGCTGTGATATTTTGCTCTTTATCTAGCTCTTTATATTACGTGGTCTCTTTTTCACAGATGCTTTGTTTTGGTTTTGTTTTTGTCATAAAATCAAATATTGAATGTCTTGGCTTCATTTTAATAACTCTGGAATAATATGCACAAAAATATACAGATATATGTTTATATATTTATTTGTGTTGATATAGGCAGATTTGAAACTGTTCTTATCATAATTCTTCGTTTAATTCATAAGCGTTCTTAGCCTTTCTTTGCTAAAAGTATGGTTATGACCATTCCCATGATATATTGCAGTGATTTGTTTCTGATTTTTTATTATGTTTGACTTTTGTACGAATATCGTGCTTTTCATTATCTTCATACGGTTAAATGTTTCAGATTTGTTGTATTTTTTTTATTTTGTAAAATTTGTGGACATTCGCAACTAACAGCTTAAGTAAGTGTGTTGATATTAATTCATCACTGTTTCTTTGGTATGTGATTGAATGGAAATCATTGATTGTACTTAGATCATTCATAAAAGAAAGCATTTTAATGTGATTTAATTGTGTATACACCTAGGTATACACATATTTAATGACTTATAGAAGAGAGAGAGAGAGGATATTGTATGTTTGCATTTACTAACGCTCTTTTTTTATTCCAATTTGGATGGAATGGAATTTCATATGTCGGACAAAGGTAAAGAAAACGTTTGGGGAAAAAATTGGAAAAATGCCATATCAAAAGTTGCTTTTGCAACTTATACCGTTGCAATTGTTTTCATTTCATTATAAGATGATTTTATGATTATGGAAATGTAAACGGAACTCGCAGTTGAAATTATCTAACTAAGGGTTCAAAACGACCGAAATGGCATCAATTTCATGGCTTTTTAAAAATATTTTCTTAAATTGTCTCTTCTCATAAATTACGCCTAAAAACACCGAAATTGCCCATAAGTATATTTGACACCCATAGAATGAAAAAAGAACTTCTGAACTCTTTGCCGATAAATGAAACGAAAAAAAACTTCGAGCAAAAAAGAAACAAATTAAGTTGCGAGCAAAAATGACACAAGTGGGCATTGAGCGGAAAATACGTTTTTCTCATTTTTCTCGCTACTGGAAAAAGATAGCGACTAGTCGTCTTCGGCAATATTGTAGAAAATGGAAATAACTACAAATAAGCCGAGGACACCTAGTCGCTGTCTTTTTCCAGTAGCGAGAAAAATGAGAAAAACGTGTTTTTCGCTCAATGCCCACTTGTGTCCTTTTTGCTCGCAACTTCATTTGTTTCTTTTTTGCTCTAAGTTTTTTTTCGTTTCATTTATCGGCAAAGAGTTCAGAAGTTGTTATTTTGTTCTTAGGCTGTCATTTGTATATACATGTATTCATATATTTCTCAATTAGTATATTGTTATTGTAAATAAATTCATTCAAGTTGATGATCGCTTCTTTTCTCGGTATATATTTTGATGAATGATTAGGAAAGATAGTGTGTATAGTTGTAGCCACTTGTTTATAAAATAATCTTAAAACAATTTAGGCTTCATTTGAAACAGAACGCATAAAACACTCCACAGAGCTGCGAAAATAGTTATAAAATTCATATAAATGGAAAATTATTCGTTAGATCTATAAATATACTTTAATTTGTTTATTGTGTGGTGAAAAGGGGAAGACAATGCCGATTAGTCATCAAATGACAGAAAATTCATTGTTTTCACATTTCTTTTAAATTTGTTGATTGGATATGAAATTACAATAAAATAAAGCGAAAATTGGTATTTTGTAGTCGGCATATTAGTAATATCCAATTAAAATTGTATACTATCTATTGTGTCTGCCATTGACGCGTACACAATATGGTCAAAATTAATTATTTTTCCTTAAAATTATGAACTGGAATACGATCCAGTGGCAAAATAAAAATTCGCAAACAAATTTCCGATACAAAATAATCAAGTTTTTGATAAGACTTGAGAGAATCTCATTGATGTGCGTGTCAAATTTCAGAGACAATTTACATAGATAAAATGGATATAGAACTATAGATGTGTAAAAGAAGAAGAACGTCTTACATTTTTCTGAAATATTCATTCAAAATGAAAATACGTACCACACTTTCACTTATTTTCTTCACATCAATCTGATTATTTTATTCATTTTCACCATTAATGCTTATTTTCAAAAAAGAGAGAAAATGATTGCGCGTCATTTGAACGGACGAATGGTGATAAAAAAAGCTACAGTATATGTATAATGATTTTCTTTGTCTCTATTTTCATGTATTAAATTAAATAGTACATAGACACACATATAGTACATGGCCACTTGTCATATTGTGAATGATTTGGCGCCATTCCATTTCGTTATAGAATAGTAGTATTGGTAGTCGCATATTACACGGTGCAACAAATTTTGGGTAGAAGAAAGTAATTGGAAACGACCACCATGGCATGAAAGTACTCCTATGGCATAGCAAAACCCTCGCTGGTTCTTGCGATTTTGGCTCAGGTTGTTATTTTGATCGGCCTGTGTAATTGTTTTTGTTCTATATGATTTTTGCAATATTGTTGTCATCACTTTTTGGTCAATAACTCATCCAGAATTGGGAATATTGTCTTACTTTCTCAAGCAAAGTTGTAGCGAAGAGTCCAATAAACAAGTTTGATGAACAAACTTTACATGAAACACTCCATCTAGTAGGTGATATGGAGCAAAATGTCGAGAAAATGGGAAATTTTTTCAACCATAACTCGCAGCGTATTTAACTTTTCTGACCACTATCTTTGACAATTTTGTAGCCAACATATAACTGGACATTGTCTATTGGACAACTTTGCTCAAAATCGCTCTTTGGTACCAAAAATGGTCAATTTGTTGAGAATTTTGGCTCATTACATGCAAAAAACTGTATATCTTTCCGTATTTTTTGTTTGCAGATAATGTAGACTGGTTTTTATGCTAGTCTAGTGGAAAAAATCATTTGTAAGGAAATTTTAAGTTTTGGACCAATTTTTGAGCGTTTGGTTGACATTTGGCCAAATGAAGTCATGAAAACGGCCATATTTCAGTTTTTATTGTATGTTACACTAAAGCTTATGTTCACAGCTAAAAAATAGGGCCAATATGATCTACCTTTGATGCCTAGTTGCAAAGTTAGTTAAGAACATGATTTTTCTGGGTCGATATATTGAGCAAAGTTGTTCAATGTATAATTGAACGCGTGAGAATAAAAGCCTGACGCTAGCAGGTTTTTCGCAAAAGCGGGATAACAATCAGTTGCACGCAAAAGAGACATTTCAAAAGGTTACACGCAAACGGAATATTTTATTTTGTCGCATTTTGAATTTTAAAGCCGTGATTACAACAACAATATACTTCTCTCTTGCGTTCAACCTTTTGAAATGTCTCTTTTGCGTGCAACTGATTTTTATCCCGCTTTTGCGAAAAACCTGGTAGCGTCAGTCTTTTATTCTCACGCGTTCAATTGTTCAATGTATAGTTGTACAACGTATAGTTGGCTACAAAATTTTCAAAGATAGTGGTCAGAAAAATTGGATACGCTGCGAGTTATGGTTGAAAAATTGAAGAAATCAGCCATTTTCTCGACGTTTTGCTCCATATCACCTACTAGATGAGATGTTTCATGCAAGAGTTAATATCGTTCAGCCAATACGTTTTGAGCGCCGTTGACACTCGGGCAACACGGTGAAACACAAAACTATTTTGACAGCTCACAATATCATATTATCCCTATCGGAAGCTGTTGTCAAAGTAATCTAATCGCTCTGTATAAAAAATAATCACATTATATTGCTTTTGGACTGGAAAATTTGTTATAATGCATAGTTCGAACCAGTTGAATATTGCTATAAGCAGTAGTAAAGACTTAGCGCAATTCATTTTTAAAACACTGAAAGTGCAAGACACTTAATGTCGAAAAGTCTAAAAAAAGAATTTCTTTGCACTTGCAGTAGTTAGTATTTTATCGTACTAAATTAAGGACAAAATCGTGCTGCAATTCACAATCAAGACACTGCAAAGTGCAAGTTGTGTCGGTGTGCGATTTCGTAGTGTCTGTGTGTGAAAAAGTATATCAGAATGATTTTTCACCGTTCATTTGATCGGCCCATTCATTCGTTCTTAATTTGGTAAGTTCACGTTTGGTGACTTTTTGTGATTCGTTGAAAAAAAAATTACTCGAAATTACATTTCCAAACTAACTGTATTTTCAATGAACAAAATAAAAGAACATCTAAACTGAGTCCACTGCGAACAACGTCTCTTTTACGCTAACAGCAATTCGTTCACGAACGAGTCAGTGTGACAGTTGGCGTGAGCAAGACAAAGTTTGACAGCAAACAATTTGGTTATTATATTTGGTTCGGTTTAAATGTTCTTTCCTAAACATGAACACACTAACTTTAGTATATTTCATACGGTGGAAACAAATTAATAAGAACACAACCGAAATAGTATTCAATGAATTTTTTTTTTCATTGCACGTGAAATGAAAATGTGTTCAAACATGGTATAGTGAGGTTATGTGTTACACTGCAAGTGCTACTGTCAAGCACACGGATCTCGATAGGGATACTTTTGTGGCCCAGAAAGAACTAGATTTGTATAATTCAAGTAATGCGATCTAGTACAAAAATAATCCCAAATAATCCTTCGGAATTCTCCATAATTCTCAATAATGCTCAATAATGCTATGCATAATACCAACACCCAATAGCTAAACACAACCGTATTTCACTTTTGTTTATTGGCATTATGCATAGCATTATTGAGCATTATTGAGAATTATGGAGAATTCCGAAGGATTATTTGGGATTATTTTTGTACTAGATCGCATTACTTGAATTATACAAATCCAGTACTTTCCCCCTTGAAAAGTGATGACATCAATATTGCAAAAATCATATAGCAGAGTTTGACTCAGGCGCCAGATATATGCATTGGCATAGAAAAAATATGCGGATAATTTTTGCTCTGTGCACTCTCAGTATATAACGGCACCCAGCTTCATCGTGTATCACACTGAACGTAGTAGTATAGGACGGTTTGTTTACAAAGAAAAAAATTGTTTTTAAACAAACTTTTCCAGAATTGTACAGCGCAATGTATTTAAATGGCAGCAATGCTGTCATATGCTAAGGCAATCTATCTGCCGCCTGAGTCAAACTCTGTCGTATAGAACAAAAAAATTACACAGGTCGATAAAAATAACAACCTGAGCCAAAATCGCGAAACCCAGCGAGGGTTTTGCTATGCCATAGGAGTACTTCCATGCCATGGTGGTCGTTTCCAATTACTTTTTTTACCTCAAATTTGTTGAACAGTGTTATTTATATATTGACAATAGCAAGTATAAGTACTTTGGTGTATTTGATTTTGGTTTTTTAAGCCAAATGTAGCTGCTGTTTTTCATCGTGAAACGAATAACTGATTTTTTCTGAAAGTCAATCAAGATGAATGTACTTTTTAAGAACATCGAAATCAAAAGGGGAATATGAATTTATGATGTACGCTCAGATGATAGTTGATTCTAATATTTTATCTCAAAAAATGCCACAAAGCAATGGGTTGACGTGCATTATGGATCATATCTTGCCAGTGCTGCCGACCTAAGCCATGCTCCAATGGACCGATACCACAACTGCCAATCGCATTTGATTCTCCGCCTGATGACACAACGTAAATCTGAAATTCACATCATTTCAATACCCCAAAGTTTATTTAAGATAAAAAAAGCAAGCTGACTTAAAGAACATACCTCAAGGGCAGCATTTTGTAGGTTTGATTGAGAAAAATTAAATGTAAACGCCTCATTCCATACTGGGTTACTTGGATCAGATTTACCTGGGCTGCTCTTTTTCTTTTTCATTCGTTTGCCATTCACTATCAAATACATCTATTGGCGAAAAGAATAATTCAGCATTAAATTGTGGATTCCTATTTAGATTTCCGTTTTTAATAATATAGGAGTTACCTTCACGTAGGGTTCCTGCACAGTTTCCAGATTCTTTGCCTTCATCAAAACTATAGTTAAACCTAAAATAAATCAGTAAATTCATCCATTTGTATCTATATAAAATGTTCGAAAGAATACATTTTGGACTTGTTTGAAGTTTATTTTCAATAAATAACAACCTATAATTGACACCTTACATGAAAATCGAGTTTGAAACCCGGATGACGAGAACCCTTACATCTAATGTAACGGATGATGAGTTTGAATCATCTCATTTTTTATTACGATTGTCATTAATTTGTATGACGAATTTTTTAGTTGTAATAATTTATACAGTAGGGAAAACACCGAAACAATTTTGCAAAAAGTTAGATTTCGATTTCCCTCAACAAGGTAAATACAATAGAAGTCAGCAGCGAGTACAACTACCATTTGGTTTGACGTTTTGTCATTAAGTTAGTTTAACCTTCAAACCGTAAATCCCCACTTTACTGAAATAATTCCAAAAAACTTGCTGTTGTCTTTCATATTTCGATTTTTTATGACTTTTATCACATTTCAAAGTAATTTTCATACTTTTCCGATCCTGGAATATTTACATTCAAAAATAAAAATTTACGAATAAACTGACATTTCTCATTTAAAATCCATCATGGGCACTCAGGCACCGATTTCACGAACAACGTTAGAAAATACATTTTACGGTTTGAAGGTTAAGTAGCTTAAATGTAAGTCAAGTAACAATAAAGTACTGAGCTTCATGTCAAGTCTACTGTTAAGTCTAAACCTTAATGATTTCTACAAAAATCAATAGATGGCGTTTGGGTCTAGCATTTGCCCAACAACGTATAGCACTGCACACTTTTTGTTGAAAAATTACGAAATTTGCCGTAGAGAGCGCGCTTTCTTATGGACATTCCAATGGGGAACTGTTGGCGCCCTCTTGACGGTTTTTTTGATAACTAGTAGTGTTAGACGCTGTTGCATTTGCCTTGTGTTCCCTCACAATTATTGCAGCCTTGACCGAAAATTATGAAAAATGTTTGCTGGAAAAATCATTAGAAAAACTTACGCTCCGCTTGAGGTAGATAATTCAAACTGAGGAGAAGTTCAGGTCGTTCAACTGGTGGTTTTCTTTTTCTAATCAGCTCAGCCCAAATCTAAAATTCCATATTTCTATCAATTAAAACCAGAACAGCAGAGAGCACAAAGAAATAAAACAAACCTCAACCGATTTCGTCAGATCCATTTCATCGATGTTTATTCGTACTTCACCCATCGCATCGTTCTGTGAGTAGCGATCACAGTCCATAACCTGCATAATCAGTTCTTTGCCTGGAAGTTGATCGCGTGAAACCGGAAACTTGAAATGTTGATCAAAATAAGGATGATGTTCACCGCGTGCGATAATCGCCTCTCGCTTACGATTATCCACTTCAGGACTCAAAGCTAAACGAACAAGTGGGTCGCGGAATCCGCCTTCATCGATTGAACAGAGACTTTGTGCTAAATTTAATCAAATGTAAAGAAAAGAGTTTCAATTAATTATACACAGATTCAAATCATTCGACAATACCTTCGATCAAATGAACAGCCAAATCACACAAATGTGAATCATATTTTAGGTGAAAATGTAATTTTCCAAAGGCTAAATTGTCGTCGGGTGCATTGATATACACAGGACCCTCATGCCCGCGATATAAATCCGGTTGAAGTGTCCCAAGAGGACTGGCTGGCGCAGCTGTGTTGCTAGGATCGACATCTAAGGATGATAAATTTATTCAAATTACATAAAGTGGATGGAAGATGCGACGGCGAGTCTAACTCACTATTTAATGCTTTCGGCGTCAGAAGTAATGGTGATAAACAGCGACCGAGTTTTGGAGAAATGCAAGCGGTACTGGCGCAAGCCGTACTCGATGCAAGCGACGCCAAGCAACTTGGGCTTAATTCACTGGTGTCAGTCGACGTAGAAGACGAACAACGTGCGTCTAAACTGTGTGCGGCTCGCAATGGACTCGACGCTCGTGAAAAATGAAATAATGATTGTTCATTTGTGGATGTACTTCTTCCATCGGGCCCAAATGCTCGAATTTGTGGCGATGAACCACGGTGTGCCTATGGAAATATACGGAAATCCCACCAATCAATCAAATACAGTAATTGTAAAATGCAAATGAATTTGAGAATATGTTCTTACTGATTGTCTTGTTGGTGTGCTATCTAAGCTACTTTGACTAGAAATCGATGGAGTCCTCTGTAAACGTGGCGGAAATGATTTGCTTTGATGCTGCAAAGGTGAGTGTAACACGGAAGAAGGTGATTGAGATGCTGAACTCTCGGCTATTACACTGCTTGTGTTCGCTGTACTGATTGGTGCAGACGTTGTCGTTGCCGTTGTCATCAATGATGACGTTGTCGTTATCTCTACCGCAGTCGCTCCATGTGAGTGATTCGTACAATCCTATTTAAATGACACATGGATATTGCATTAATAGATGTATAATTTGCATCCGATTTCATTGACGCTTCAGAATGGACAACAGGGAGGTGAATTCTGATTGACTGGTCGGTTCTGTGTCCTTTGTGGTTTTTTGTTGATTTTCCCTACTGATTTTTTTTCTTCTTCACACAATATAAAATCAATAAGATATGTGTGAATCCTGTACTGGATGCATGCTAAACTTAAATTTAAAAATTTCCATTTAATTGGAATTGAGAGTGACAGACAAATGTAAAAAGGAAATGAATAGAAGATTTATTCACCTCAGTTGATGCAAACGAATCGTTATTAGAATCGGTGCTCATGTTCATTGACGTGCTTGCATTGGACGACTTGCTTCCATCACTGCTTTTATCGGTGGATTTTCGAACCGCACCAACACGTTCTTTAGCCAGACGTGACCATGACTCTATTCGCTTGTGAGCTAGCCAACATGCAGCAGGACCTAGGCCACTCATTATTCGATATTTTCTTCTTGTGGATGAAACGCGTGCGTGTGTTTGTCTCGTTATATCCCCTTTCGAAGGGATGCTTCAAAAAAAATCCACGAAAATTCAATGTTCGTTTTTCTCTTCCGTCCGAATGTACAACCGAATATAGTTGAGCTTCCGTATATTATTTATTCTATTTCAATAAATAAAAATACACTAATACATTTGGAGCTGCTCTCTGTAAAAGACAACAAAAAGTTGTTATTATTAAAAAGAACAAAGTGTCGATACATTTTTTAAGTTTTCATATGGACTAAAGATTTCTAATAGCTCATTTACATTCAGTAGACCATAAAATTGGTGATAAATAATTTAGATTTGTTTATTTTCCGCAGAAGATAGATGCGCAATTTGCTGAACATAGACAGTACACAACGTAAGTATTGTTACACCGGCCGAGAATTGCGACTTTTGAAATCATATTGAAACTAACTATGCTATATAGTCTGCTGTCAAACTTTGTCTTTCTCACACTAACTTTCATGCGGACTTGTTAGAGTGAAAAAGATGTTGTGTGAAGTGGACACAGTTTATATATTCTTTGCACTCAGTCAGAGCAAAATAACGACTAAATTAGAGCAAAACTAACATTTTCATCGCCACACACCAGTGCCGTCTTAGCCTGGAAGCGAATGAAGCAGCCGCTTCAGGGCCCCGCGATTTCAGGGGCCCCGAGCTGCTGAAAAGGCCCTTGAAATATTAAGAGAAAATCTTATCAAAGAAAATTAGAAAAAACACACAAAAAATACAAAAATTCTCAAATTTATTTCAATCTTCGTGGTTTGTTTGCTGTCTACAAAACAGATGATGCGCATGACGTTGACGCCGTGGAAATGGCTTTGGCCCATTTTTAGCGTAAATAAAATCATCAATTATTTCATCGAAGTCCAAATTATTCAAAATTTCACATTCAACCACTGAGCAGAAATGATTGAATATCAAATAAGAATGAGTAATCAAAGAATTTCAACTGCAAGACGAAAAAAGTCATATACATACATATATTTCGCCTTATTTGTTGTTTCTGTCTTACTTTTTGAATGTAAGTAGTGTGGCTCACTTTTTAATAGAATATTTACATATCAAAATATAAACAGTTTATCGATCAACCGTTTGAGCGAAATTCTTTATTGCTAAGTATGGTTGACTCTTCCAGACGAATGTAAATAAACATAGAGGGAGAATAGAGATAACGATAGGTTTCGTTTGTCAATTCGAATTGGATGTTGAGTCACATATACATTCGTATGAATAAGAGCGTTCATGTCCAGCAGTATTGAGCAGTAATCAAAACACAAATGAAAAACGGCATAGTTTAATAACTCTGAATTCATCTGTTTGAATTCAATCGAAATTGGTGCAACATTCAATTCATTCATCATTGAATTTTGTGCTATTGAGAAAAAAAATTTGGGCCCCGGAAAATTTTTGCTTCAGGGCCCCCGAAAGTGCTAAGACGGCACTGCCACACACCCAAAAATCATCAATAATAATGCATTGCGTCGTATAAGTAGCTGGATCAAAATTCATTTCAGATTCTATGAAGGAGATGGCAATAAAACGAAGCACATAAAATGAACACATGTAGCACCTTCCAAAACAGCAAATACATTACCATCAAAATCACATAAATTCCGCATAAAATAATTGTCAATTCTGTTGAAATAATTGTTTGTTGGTTTTCATTACGTCAAAATAGACCGTTGGTGCACACTGCACAGTGCACACACATACAAAAGGATCCATAATATATTATGCAGCGTTATAACGCTGAACTAGGACTCAAAAGACGAAGAAGAAAAATAAACAACATGAGATGGAGCGATTGAAAGGTCGAAGTAGACGTTGCCTCAGGTGGTAGATACGCTGCTCAATGCTCATTCTTATTGAGAGTAAATCCTTAGCCAGTTTTTTTTGGTATATTCCATTACTGATAATGGGAGAGAAACGTACGAAATAAAACTAATTGCCGTATTGGTGTATTCAACAAAGTTGTATTAATTGAATCACTCTAAAATTTTGCTAATAACACCCATCCGTTATCCTTATTATAGTTAAGAAACTCAGAATTTCAGCAGGTTGATAATTCATACTCGCCATGAGTTGCCTGCGTATTCATCGTTTTCTTCACATCTCCACACTCCCGATATCTGCCGCCATCTATTATTGTGTATCACAAAATGTCAGCTCAGTTTTTAGTTGTTCACAGTGTTTAATTTAGATAAATGAATTTTATCTAGATAAAAACCAGATAAGACCTCATTTTTGTCTTTTAATCTAGATAAAGATAAGATATTTATCTTATCTTTTATAAGAAAGATAAGATTATCTTCAATTATCTTCAGATAAAAAATAAGATAATTCTTGGTTGTTTTTTCTAAAGAAGAAACTTAAAAAAATTGCGTTAAAATCTCAAAAAATATTTCTTTCGATATTTTTTGCGTTGTTTATTCTCAAAATGCACGAAATAAAATTGATTTTCTGATATTTTTTACAATTTCTGAACGTTTCGTTTCTTCTTGCAATTGCGTTTTTTTCGTTTTTCATCCCATTGCAATTTTTTCTCTCCCTTTGAAATTTTTAATTGATCAATTTAAGAATTATCTCAATTTGTCTTTAAAAAAGATAAGATATTCTGACAATTTTCTGAAATTAATCTAGATAAGATAAAAGATATTATCTTATCTTTGTCCAAACACTGGTTGTTCACAATAAATATACTTCAGAACATAGATGGCAGAAGAGGTTCTCGACTTTGCGTATGAATATGTGTACAAATTACAATAGATGAAATCCAGCGCCCTTTGACATAACCACCGACAAATAACTCTGAATACATAACCGCGTTTTGCACTCAACAACGAAATCATGCATTGTAAAGGTGCGAAGGTATCTGAGCAAGAGAAGGATGAAATAGACATGAATTATGCACACACGATTCCGATGGACAATAAATTCGATATTTGCCGAACAAACAAAAACGATAAATAATTCGCTCGAAATTATACGCCGTTTATGCCATGGACGGCTTTTATGTTCGGTTAGGTTCGGTACGGTTCTATTCATATCGCGGCGCGCGATTTTATCCATATTTATTTCGTCATTATCATTTGTCATTTTCTCTCTACATCGCTACCCGTTGTGTTCAATTCTAGGTTTTCAATGCAACCATTTTTCCTAGTTCATTTAATATTTCATCGACACCAATTCATTTGTAAGCACATACAAACGGTGTATTTTTAGAAGCATGTGACGTGTTATCAAAACACATTCGTAATATTTGCCTTCCAATTGTTTTTTATTGCTTTTTTGCCGAATCATTCGGATAAGTTTGTGTTGTTGCCATTATTTGTGTCGCATTCTCGTCAACAATATTTGTTTACACAATTGTCAAATTATATATCGTATGTGTTCCTATTGAATCTGGAAAGAAAAAAAAAATGTGGAAAACAATGCAAACACAAGAAGTAACATGGAAACACGCACGAAACGAATAGTATTCGCTTGAGCTGTACACAATGACATCTTTCAAGAGACAAACGAACAATACCCGAACAATTTTCAAGGAATTAATGTCTTTTTTGATCGATTCTCGTTTCCTAGCGCTTGATGAATTTGGTGGTTGGCGTAGAGATTTTGCGCATAGAGCCATGCCAAAGTGTAGAACACCAAGCAAAAAGGCCGAGATATAATTATTATTTACAATAATTGATGATGCTCACTCGATAGCTGCCATCCATCGCTTATGTAAGTGCATTTAAGTGTCGATCTTTTGATCAAATACATGCCAAATTTTCAATTTTCGATAAGTATAATGCTCTACAATGTTATCTCTACATCAGTGATATTAAATGAATCACTTTTGACTGTCATGACTGTCTGTGTTCTTTTCAATCAAATCTTTGTCATTATCACTGACTTTCGTGATTAAAAATTGGTGCGATGTAAATCTAAGACTTTTGGTGCGATTTACTGTTTTCGTGCACCCAAATAAAAAAAACATTCTGCTATTTATCATTTTAATATCGATTGTGTTTCAAGTTGCATTGTTCCATTACACAATAAACAACTCTACAAACAATACCTAGCAATAAAAATGAAATGAAATGGGTAGAATGTGTCAAACATTTAATTTATTTTAAAGTTGAAAAGAAAGCGAAAAAAATAAAATCACAAGATAGCAATAGTATAAATGAAAAGTGACCAATTTCGTTCATATGAATGAAACGACTCTCCATTCTAATGGTCATTCATGTCAATTGTCATAAAAGCATCATTTGTTTCTATCAGCTTTAAATTCCTTTGGCTTTCCCATTTACTACCTAAACAGATGAACAAGAATCTTTTTTTTTTCAATAAAAAATGAACGTTTTTTGGTTTTTCTCTGTCCTTTAAACCGTGGACAAATGCACGTGTTGAAAACAGCCCAACGTTATGTAAACAGCACACTCGACATTTGACCATCTTTCGATTCGATGAAGCATAATGATGGCAAACTGTTGCCATAAATGCGCTTTTGACTAGATTTCTTTCCATTTGGCTTGGGCTATTTTGTGTACATTGTTGATTGTTTTTCCCTACCTCCCTCTCTCACTCTCAATCTCTCCCTCTTGATTACGCCGGACAGTCGCATGCACGCTTTCGATGCGGCTTTTTATTCTCTCGAAGTGAAATTAAGTGGAAAATCACTTCTGGTGCTTCATTTAGATCGAACACACAATTGGTAAAATAGTTTTTTTTTGTCCATGTATGTCATCGCTGGAAAAGAAACAGAATTTTTCGTACGTGTGATCGAATGAAGCATGCCTTTCTATTGTATTTGTTTTGAAATTGATAACGAAATAACATAAAACACACAATGCCACAATACTCATATCAATGAAAGAAGTACTAAAGTTCTTCATATTGCATTTTTTTATTATTTTCTGCCTTTTTCTATCTTCGTCTCCTCTTTCTCACCTTTATTGGATATTTTTCGAAAATGATATTCAATGGTTACACAATTCTTTTGTGATTCGGTGACCATAATTGAATCAAATGTGAGCGATTATCTGTTTGTGTGCTTTGTTTCGTGTTTCCAAATGCTTTTTTGAACCACTCTCGTGCTAAAGAATGGTTCATTTTCCATTTTCTAAGTGAGCGTGCGAGTTGTGTGTATGTATGTATATGTATGTGAAT